TCTGCGGCACCGCGGGCTGCTGCAGGTGGGCCCCATCCCTGCCCCTTGGGCTCAGCTTCCAGCTCTGCTCCTGGGGAGCCGTGGGGCTGGCACCTGTTTGGCTGCCACCCGGCACATCGCAGCTCAGCCTGCTGTCCCTGCTGAGCATCCCAGTAAGCCCTGGAGCGGATGGGGCACCCAAGTCACCAGCTTGTGTTGGCAGCCTTAAAAAACAGGATATGGTGTGGGAAAGTGTCGGGCAAAGTTAGGGGAGGGCTCCAGTGCATGGCAGGGGAGGCTCCACGAGAGGCTGGGGGGGACCAGCGGAGGGGTTTCTGGAGGTGATGGGTAAGAGGTGTCGTGGTTTGGGCAGGTGCTTCTGTGTGGAGTGTCTGGAGGTGCTGGTGGGACGAGGGACGTCGGCCAAGGCAAAAGAGCAGGAGCCCTGGAACTGCTACATGTGCCAGCCCCAGAGGAGCTATGGGGTGCTGCAGCGCCGGCAGGACTGGAACCCCCGCCTGCAGGACTTCTTCACCAGCGACAAGGGACAGGAATACGTAAGGGCTGCGGGCAGGCGAGCCCCGCGCACTGGGCTTTGGGAGAGGGGGCTGCAAAAAGAGAGTGAATGGCTCAGAATTCCTCTGTCCTCTGCGTTGGTCTCATCCACCCTCTCCGAGGGTGCCGAGCTCTTGCCCCTACAGGTGCTTCCCTGCAGGTGGAGGCGGTACCTGTGGAGCCAAGGTTTGCCCTTGCAGAGCACTGCAGCGCTGCCCAGCACTCGGGCTTCATTGCCATCCTTTCATTGCAGGCTGCACCCAAAATCTACCCGACAGTGCCACCAGCAAAGAGGAGACCTATTCGAGTGCTCTCTTTGTTCGACGGCATCGCAACAGGTGAGGCACTGGGTGAGCAGCGCCCTGGCGGGTTGCATGTCAGGGATGGGTCGTTTTGTGGCTTCAAATCTGTCGGAGCTTGGTGGGGAGAAGGCAATGAGGTGCAGGAGGAGAGATCCCCAGCAGAAGGGTGTGAGGGCAGGGGCTCTCCCTTCCTGCTGGACAGGGCTGTGGAGCAGGGAGGGATGGGAGGAGGGCATGGGAATTTGGTTCCTGTGGTGTGGAATGCCCTCTGGGGTTTCCCTGGGAAGCAAGAGCTGTGGGAGCACTGGTAACCTGGCCTCTGGTGAAAAAGTGCCCAAGGGCAGCTGGTTTGACTTCACTCAGCTCTTTGAATTCTGCTTTCTGGAAGCAAACCTGCCTGGAGAAATGGGTCAAAACGTGAGTTTGCTCATCCAGAAGTCCTATGTGACTGCACCCACCTAGGAAATGCAAGCGTGGCCACATTGAGCTTCTGTGCTGAAGAAGGAGACTGGGAGACTAAAGAGAGCAGTGCAACCTCAGACCTCTGTCCCTTGGCAGGGTACCTGGTGCTGAAGGACTTGGGCATCCAAGTGGAGAAGTACATCGCCTCGGAGATCTGCGAAGAACCCATTGCTGTGGGCACCATGAAGCACGAGGGCAACATCACCTACGTGCACGACGTCAGGAACATCACCAAGAGAAACGTGAGCACCGCTTCTGTGGGGGCGCTGGGGAACGGGGCACCGCGGCCACGTGGGTCTCACCTCACCAGCCCTGGGACGGGCTTGTCCCTGCCCTAACTGGGTCTGTCTGTCCCCTCTAGATCGAGGAGTGGGGTCCCTTTGACCTGGTGATCGGTGGAAGCCCCTGTAACGACCTCTCCCTTGTCAACCCGGCCAGGAAGGGGCTGTATGGTAAGGCTCTGCAGGGCTGGGTGCCCCCAGGGTGTCCCTGGGGCACAGAACCACCTTGAAGTCCAGGGAGGTGGTTCAACCCCAGTCTGTGTTGGTGGTGGCTCCGCTCTGAGCG